TACTAAGGGCTCCATTACAGATACCTGGCCTAGGCCTACCTGCTGTACTGCTCTCCCAGGAGATAGAGGACAAGTTAGACTGAATATAGAATATCCGGTCAGACATATTCTCTGAAGCAACCAGACACTCTGGTGTCTTGTAGAGAACTAGTAGAGAAGATTCCTAGCGTTAACCTGCCATGGAAACTGAGGCTTGTGATGTCATCATTACTCAGTGAAGTCATGTTTCACCTGAGGGGTAGGCTTCAGATCCTTGGTATTTTATGGAAAGCACGGTAAAAGGAGAGAACTCTAACCTCCCTTTTGCCTGTCTACCCATATCCTAGTGGAATAGCCACTCTTCTGTGTAGCACAGCTGGGGGTTGGGTATAGCCCATGACCACAGCAGGGCAAGAGAAAACCAAATTCTGAAACTGGCCTGACAGTCACTATTAAACATAATGACAGCTAGGTTTCATGGCCCTAATGCATTTATCTATTGGAGAGGCAGAGATTTGAGTGTATTAGGGGGTTAAGGAGTGATTCTTGGAAGTGGGCCTGAAGGTAATTTAAAATTTGGGCTGTGTGTGTGGTGACCCATGTCTGTAATTCCAGTGGCTCATGAGTCTAAGACAGTACATTTTCGAGGTCAAAGCCATCTTCAGTAACTTAGTGAGGCCCGAAGAACTCAATGAGACCCTGCCACTAAATAAAATAGAAAAAAAGAACTTTGGGTTTTGATAAGTAGTGGAGGGCCCCTGAGTTCAAAGTCCAGTACCCCGCCCCCCAAAAATATGCACATGTGGAAAAACATTTCAATTGGGAAAAAAACAAAGGCAGGTTCCTTTTCACCTCATTATGCTCCAAAGATTAATGTTTTAAGAGGTTGGGGGTGTGTACTCAATGGTAGAGTCTAGGTAGAGTGTTTGCCTAGCATGTTTGAGGCCATGGGTTTGATCTGGGCATCAGAAACAAAATAAAAATAAAATTCTTTGCACCCTTAAGTTTTATAAGGGAGGTCTCAAACAGATGTTAAGGAACCTACCAAAGGCCCCACAGGTAGTGTAGAGGTGTTGTTCTCAAAAGTAGGGTTTCAGGTTATTCATGTTATGACTCCAGAATTATAGCTGAGAGGCCGATCGTGGCACATTTCAACGTGGTGGACAATGGAAAGGCTGTTAAATGTGCTCCAAGGCAAAATGAGCATCTTCAATAACTTTATAAAGTAGGGATGACAGGCCCATTTTAACATCAAATTTGAAACATGTTCATGACAAAATGACATTTACAAAATTACTACATTATCATTTTAGTGTCCTTCAAAAAAGGCCAACAAACCATGTGTGGTCATATAAGCCTATAATCCCAGCAACTCTGGAGGCTTAGGCAAGAGGAATAGAAGTTTGAGGCCAATCTCAGCAATTCAGTGAGACCTATTTCAAAATAAAAATAAAAAGGACTGAAGAGGTAGTCCAGTGGTATAGCACTCCTGGGTTCAATCTTTATTACCACAAATAAGTAAGAAAAAAGGGAAGAAGGCTGGGATGTAGCCCAGAGGTAGAGTTCGCCTGAGTTCACACCTTGGTATTGCAAAAAAAAAGAAAAAAGCAAGCAATAGGGCTGTGAAGATGTAGCTTAGGGGTAGAAATCTTGCCATCCACAGCACTGCAAAGAAAGAAAACAAACTCAACTGATTCTTTGTCCTACATGTGGCACTTTGGACTGTGAATCATCAAATACAATGAAGTTTGTCCCAATGATAATTATAGTTAAACCAGCCAATAAAATATCATTTATTGCTAGAAATCATGACAGAAAATCAAAATGCATTTTATTATTCACATTTTATGTGAAAGACTATGCTACTATGATCCAATGCTCCATTTCTCCGATGCTGGCCAATAGCTCATTTTGCAAAGCAATAAGCAGCCCCAAGGCCCTGGGAGTCATTAAGGACAGCCTAGCTGACAAGTGTTTTTATCCATCCAGGACACCAGGAAAGATCCCTAATCCAGAATCCCATTAGTTAGCCAAAATCAGGCTTGCAGAGGCCAGTGCTCTCTCACTGAGGATGCCTCTTTGTCCAGCTGCTGCTAGTTCAATTTTCTGAACCAGGCTCACATGCCACAGATGGGTCACAAAGCTGATGACTGAGCCTGGCATCTCACTCCCAACATGGCCCACTCTCCCTGCTCTGTGGATGTAATCTTGCAGGGTGAGGGGAAAATCATAATTGACCACCAGGTTCACATGTGTGCTGTCTAGGCCGCAAGAATCTATGTCTGTACAGAATAGTATGTCTTGGGAGCCCTTCTGGAACACTGGAAGATACCTGCCCTCGTTGAGGCTGGCATTTGCCCCTGAAGCTTTAGGTGTTTGATCTTGTGGTCATCCAGAATATTTTTTTTATTTATATATAACAGCAGAATGCATTATAATTCTTATTACATAAATAGAGCATTACTTTTCATATCTCTGGTTGTATACATAGTATATTAACATCAACTAGTGTCTTCATACATGTACTTTGGATAATAATAATCATCACATTCAACCATCATTAATTACCCCATGCCCCCCTCCTTTCCCCTCCCACCCCTCTGCCCTATCTAGAATTCGTTTATTCCTCCATGTTCCCTCTCCCTATCCCACTATGAATCACCCTTCTTATATCAAAATATTACCCAGCTAGTCCAGAATGCTGGAACTGTTACAGAAAACCAGGGCTGTTCCTGAGGATCCAGACTTATCTGCTTTGTCATGCTGCTTGAGGATCTGTATCAACTCTGTCACCTTGTCTGTTCTCTTCAGCTTCATAACTGTTTAACTGCCATGAGGCAATGATGCAGTGGAGCTTAGAACTGGTGATGGTGGTGAGAGAGTCTGGGATCCCACCTTAACTTAGTGACTGGCCCACACCTTCAAGATCTTAAATTGGGGTCCAATCTTAGCAGCTTAGGGAGACCCTGTCTCAAAAAGGATGGGGGAGGTCTGGGGTTATTGCTCAGTGGAAGAGCAAGTGCCTAGTATATGTGTGTTATTGGGTTTGATCCTCAGTACCAGATAAAAATAAATTCTACAAATAAAAAAAATTATATTAAAAAAAGGTGGGAGATTTGGTAAAGGATTCCCCAGTACAAAAAAAAGTAGATATTTAATTAAAAGTCTCCCAACCTTTAAGCCGAGGCAATCTTTACTTTTTTTTTTTTAAAGGAGAGATTCTTTCTTTATTTTTTAGGAGTAGATGAACACAACACAATGCCTTTATTTTTATGTGGTGCTGAGAATCGAACCCGGGTCCCACCCGTATTAGGCAAGCGCTCTACCACTGAACCACAATCCCAGCCTTACTTTTTTTTTATTATTTATTTTTTAGTTGTAGTTGAGCACAATACCTTTATTTATTTATTTTGTAATATATTTATTTTCTAGTTGTAGTTAGACACAATATCTTTATTTTGTTTATTTATTTTTATGTGGTATGAAAATCAAACCCAGGGCCTCCCTTGTGCTAGGCAAGTGCTCTACTGCTGAGCCACAATTCCAGCCCCTATTCTTTTTTTTTTAAAATAGGTTATTTGTGACTTTTTCTTTAAGTTTTTAGTTGTAGATGGACACAATACCTTTATTTTATTTATTTATTTTTAATGTGGTGTTGAGAATTGATCAGTGCCTCACACATGCTAGACAAGCGCTCTACCACTGAGGCCTATCCCCAGCCCCAATCTTTACTCTTTTATGTTTTGAACCTCTTACCATTTTGAATGTATTATCTAGTCCAAAACAGAAAAAGTTAGAAAGAAAGGAAGGAAGGAAATTCTATTGTGTTAAATTGCTGTGGAAAGGGCAGTGAGCTTGAATTTTAGATCTGCGATTCCATAAGAAAGGGCTGGATTGTGTGTGTAAGGACTGATGGAGCTGGGTAAATGCCCAGGCTTCCTTGAGGCCTCTAAGGTTTGTAAGCTGAGGTCTCTAAAGTTTGTATCACAAATGCAGAGCTGGTAGTCCTTCACCCTACCAATTCTCAAAATGCAAGCCTGGCCAAGTCTCTGGTGTTTGTTTGTTTGTTTGTTTGGTAACAAGGATTTAGTTCAGGGTCATTTAACCACTGAGCCACAATCCCAGTCCTTTTTATTTTTTGTTTTGAGACAGAGTCTCACCAAGTTGCTGAGGCTGGCTTTGAACTGGCTCACTGTCCTGACCTAATGGTAGTATAGGCATGCACCTGGCAGTCTGTGGTGATTTAATGTTCTGATTGAATCTGTCATCCTTAAACATGAAAATAAACTAACAACTGAACTTGAATCTTCTGAGCACATCCTGTGAGCACTCATTAGTATGCAGTGTGTATACTGTATTTATTGGATTTGTTTTTCTCTATTTCATTCATATTTTTGAAGATTCCCTCCTCTACTACTCTTCCTGAGACACTGATTATTAAAGTAATTCATTGCATTGTCTAGTACATGGGATATATGGAAACTGTAAAAAGCTAAGTATGATGGCATGGGCCCATAATCACAGCTCCTCAGGAGGCTGAGCTCAATGGTATAGCAACCCTGGATTCAATTCTCAGTACTGCAGAGGGAAAAAAGAAAAGGGCAGGGGAATTGTTGGTAATAATCTCATTGTCATGAAACAGCCAGTATTGTTAGGATTGGGTTTTAAGTGGCTCTGAGTTGGTGGTTTCTGTTTGCTGGTGTTTTGTTCAAGTTTGGAATGTATCTGGATCCTCAAGACTGGGACATTGTTGGTGGCAGAGGAGAATCTCCTGGACAAGGTTTGTGTCTCTGAGTATCTTTGCTGATGTGGGTACCGAAGTATTGGTATGAGAGGAAGAAGGAGTATTTAATCTCATCATTTATGGAGGATCCATTGTTTTTAAAGGGATGGAAGATAGTG